AGAGAGAGAGAGAGAGACTATTACAATTTTGGATTGTTGCAGTCATCTCATCATCATCATCGTTCGTGTTGTTCGTTTAATATTTTGTTTTGTATCATTTTCTGTTAATATTTTGATATGCATTGTATACATCAGTCGTTTCTTCAGCTCTCTCGCTGCTGCTGTATTCATTTCGTCGATCATATTTTCTTAATCCCCGATTTATTTAAATCCGTTCCGTTCAATTATTATAATCTGTATGTTTAGCTGTTGTTGTTGTTGTTGTTGTGTGTTCGGCTCGTTGATCTCATATTTAACCAACAATATTTCATATCCTTGTGAAATGCGGAATGCAAGGTCGAACGAAACGAAACGAAAATTGTGTGCAGGCAATCGGTGCAAAGGGAGAGATAGAGAGAGAGGGAGGGATGGAGGGAAAACAGAAAGATGCAAAGAGGATAAAATACAAATATTAATACTTGTATTAAACATATAATTAATTCATTGAAGCGCAAAAAAAGAGAGCATGCACAGGAGCAGAGGCAGTGTGGCAGCTCACTGACATGCATATGGCCCGATGCACTGCATTTCGAAACGACAGCCGCAATAGCAGCAGCAACAACAGCAGTCAGGCTCAAGACAATAAAGAAAAAATCCGAATATAGAACAATGGGAGAAAGAATGTGTGATCATCACCACCATCATCATCATAGCACGGCTATGTCACATAGTGTGCGCGCGTGTGTGAGTGTGTATCATCATCAACATCAAATTATGTTTATCTTGTTACAAACGAACAACGATGATGACAGAGAAAATCATATTTAGCCGGGAATTGCAAACACGCATTGCACGGCCAAGTGTAGTGGCTGCCTGTGTGTTGTTGCTGTTTTTTCGTCTATTTTGGTCGATTTTCTGACAAGTGAGAAAATGGCTAAAATCCAACATCGATAAAATGGAATAGCGCAGAGAAAGATAGCAAAAGGGAGAGAACTTATTCATCTACTCGACGCGTGATAAGCGCATCCACTTTGCTCTGCAGAGATTGCACGGTGCACGGTTCATGGTGCACGCATACACATCCCGACTTGGCACTGCGAACGGGGTCCCGACGTTGGTGTTATATTGCGATAGCAAAGTCAAGATAAGACCAGAACATGAAAGAGGGAAACATTACATACACCCTTACGCTCATGCTCTATTTGCACTCGATTCTTTTTTTTCACCCAATTCCCATTCATCCTTTCGAATCGAAATGATTTTTGTTGTTGTTGCTGCTGCTGCTGGCTGCGGCTGCTATTAAAGGAACCTTACCTTTCTGGCACAAAATCCAGTGTCGATGCACACATGCCTTCGAAAGATGGAGACGTGCGATAAATATCATATTATACGCTGCTTTATACGGATTCAACATTTAATAAGGACAGCAGCTCATATTTTTCTGTTCCTTTTCATATCCATTTTTTTTTCGGTCATAATGACCCGCCTTGTGAACCACAATGAAATCAAAATACTACTGACGTCGGCTAGAAATTGCACTTTATGAAATCGCAATAAAAAAAACACCATTCAATGCGAATGTTATTGACTTTGATACAATCAAACGACCGATCTACAGGCGTATACGTCTGATTTTTATCTACGATTCAACTATTTTCAATATGTATCGAATTCGGTCGTTGTTTTTTGTTCTCCATTCGCTCTCTCCCTCTGCATCTCTTTCTCTGTCGGAAACCGGATTATTTCAAGTACAACCAGAAGTTTATAAAACATTAATGAGAACTAGAAATCACAGCAATTCACCGGCAAATAATTTTTTTCTGATAAATGTGAATGAACTGTCTACTTCACTTTTTCTTTCTCCGCAATTTTTTTTTTCTTCCAGAGAAAAAGCTTGAACTTCTTCTACGTTTTTTACGGCATTTTTTTACGATTCATAATCTTTGATTATTACGATCGATTTCTGGTGTAATAACTAGGCGGAAATTGTCCGTTAGAAAACAATGACTTCATGTACATTACCACTTTCGATCAGATTAATCTGAATCAAATTATTTCATTGTGAACAATCTTGTTAATTTAACGATGAGAATGTTCTGGACATAGACTTTTGATTCGCTACCATGTGCTGAGCTCAAAATTTGAGAAGAAGTAAGCTGGAAATTTCAAAAGAAAAATTTGAATACACACAAATTCAATCATTTGAAATGAAAAGATAATTTTGGCTAGTATTCTTTTGAAAGTGAGTTTCAAATTCGGTATTTTGATTGATAATTTGAACAAATTGCAAACTAATTTGTTCAAATTATCAATCAAAATATCGTTTCGAAACTCACTTTCAAAAGAATACTAGCCAAAATTATCTTTTGCTATCACCACAATGAATGGTGATGTAAATAGATGAGTGTGTGTGAGTTCCGTGTAGATTTTCATTAAAAATGTGAAAATTGCTGTTGCAAATCATATCGCGTCTTGCGGTAATTCTTCCGCTTCACTCAATTCGAATAGTTTGATTTGTGTTTTCATGTGTGATTGATGAAACCGAATCTTAAACGATGAGCACACACCTTGGCGAAACCCTATGATATTTGATCGCTCATTTCATGTTTTAAATGGCATGTATACACATCGATATTCGCTTCGTTTTGTATGATATTATTCATTGCAAAGACAAAGTGAGTCTCTCTTTATCACTCTATCTCTCTCTCTCTCTCTCTCTCTCTCTCTCTCTCTCTCTCTCTCTCTTTCTCTCTGTCTTTCTTTCCTCTCTCCCTCTCTTCTGATAGAATAGAGAACTGAGAAACGCAGCCGAAGTCTTACTTTTCAATAGATCTTAAGGCTATGATTTGAATGTGTCGAAGTGTCTTTTGAAAGATTCGATTTAACAACAATATTTTAAGTGGAAAATTTACGAATAAACAGAAATAAAATGCCATTGAATTCGGGTTGAAAGGGCTTTTTGAAGATGAATCAAAAGCGGAGTTTTCGGTGTGTGCGTTTCATTCATTCTTTTCTAAAAACTTCAACCAAAGTGATAAATCTGGCGGAAAATCGAAATCAAAAACTTGGGCTGAATGTTTAAGCGGATTTATGTGGCACGGTCGAAAATGCGCTTCCCCGTAATTGTCGCTTAATCGTCAAAAGTTTAATTTAAATTCATTGAGAAATGTTATTTGTTGATATCGACAATACAAAGCGACTTATTCATGAAGAAGCAGCAGCAGCAGAACAGATGAATGTAAATGAAAACGAAGCGAGAATGAAAAAAACGCACACAACTCGAAATGCGATGCTCACCGTGAAAACAGTGAAATGTGGTGTGTGGCATTCATATGTTTGATGTGATCAAACAATGATGACGACTGAAACCGAATCGCAAAACCAATTACGTGTAGTTAATAGAGATTGTTCATGTTAATATGCATAAAAACAAGGAAAAGACAAAGCGATAAAAATCGCCATATCAAATGATTTGATCATCGTGCGCGCACTCACAAACGCAACAAAGCGCATCCCTTGTGTAATGGGAACAAACGCGCACTTGTTCACACACACAGAGAGAGAGAGAGAGAGAGTGTGTATTTTTTTCTCAAATGTTTTGATTATGTGAGCGTTCGATGCTGTCAAGATAGAGAAAGACAGTGATGAAAAGAAGAGCAACAAATAATGACAATATTAACAAATAAAGAAGTTAGATACAAATAAAAGAGAGCGAACGAAACCGAATCTTTCAATAGCAATTGACCCCAAGCGCGCACAAAAAACCGAAACAAATACACACACTATCTCTCTTACTCACACTCTCTCGGTCTCGGTGATCATGTGACACTTTGTCTGCCATTCAATGTTGATTTTGCGCTCACATTATTACGACATTATTTATTCAATTCGTCATATATTATGGTTCATTCCGAATTCTTTTTTTTTCAATTGTCGTGACGGTCCCTTTTTTCTTCACCCCGAACACTTGAATGATGTCTCAATTCGGAATGCGAAACGTTGCTGAAATGAACGAGTGGTGAAACAGAAAAAAAAAAACCAAAAAAGATAGAATTAAGTGATAGGCCGTGACGAATGCCATACAATGGAACAAAACATACACGCACACACAACATGCATGAAAAACCTACATATGAAAAGGAAAGGCACATGTTTTTTCCTTCTACTTCTTCTTCTCTCGACCCGACACGAAAGTGTTTTATTAAATCGCGTCCAGAGAATAACTAAATGCGAAACGCATTTCACGACACATAAATCTGCGCCGCTTCATTCGAATGCCTGTGTGTGAATTGAAGCGCAAGATTGACAACGAAGGAAAAGTGTATTTAATATTCGAAAAAATCGAACGGGCGACTTAATTCCCATTTCAATTCGCCCATTCAGTCGAGAAGAATCCCATAGTTAAGTGCCATGCAAAATCTTTTATCATACAATTGCAAAAATATGAGAGAGAGAGAGAGAGAGACGTAAGACAGAAAAATAAAATACAATTAAATTTGCCAATCGGATGTTCAGCACACTTTCGATTCCATATCCACTCACACATCGCTCACGCGCTCCTTTCAGAATAAGACGCGACAGATACAATTTGTTCGAGCATGTGTCGCACCGGAAAACAGCCACTGCATCGCTTCTCTTCAACACGTGCGATATTATTTATTTCCGGCTGAAAACTTTCAGAAATAGGATTTATTTCAATGAAATGTGACTGCGAATCGTTCCTGATCGCAATTCAAAATTCAACGCGAAAATTAATAACTTCCATAGTCGAAATTTAAAACCGTCAAAAGAGATTTATGAGAAGATCTAAATTGCTTTCGTTACATGCTAATCGTGAACCCCTTTTTGTATTATTTTATTTTTTAATTAAAATTTTTATTTAATTGTCTTAAAAAAGACGTTTTTTTTTTAAACAAAAGAAAGAATTTTCTTTTCAAAAGAACCAAAATTGCCTTAAACTCATCCAAATTCTATCAATTATAGAAGAGGATTGAATTACCATTCCGATTGTTCTGTTTCAGGTGTCTTCAATAAATCGTGTCCTTCGCAATTTGGCCGCACAAAAAGAGCAACAGCATACACAGCCGAATGTGAGCTCAACGCTGCATCACAGCAACGCCTCGCATACACATCATCATTCACAAAGTATGTATAATTAACGTTGGAATTAATTCCAACAATTTAATTGGCACATGGCCAAAGGCATTCTTCGTTTTTTTTTTTCATAACAAACTAGATTCATTTGCAGCATTTGAGAACTTTTTAATTACCGGCAATTGGATTAAATACGAAACATTGGTTCGACCTACTTCAAATTCATTATGAAGATTTAACTCAAAGAAGAAGAAAAAATTGTCAATTTATTCGGAATACAGAAGTTTTTACTTAGTTCGTTATGTTTCGCATTTTTTTTCTCCGTGTTTTTACTTCCATTATGCAATTCTTGCAATTTTGTTGAGAGCTCTGGAAAAAAAATGTAGTTGACCTAAATTGCAACTCTTAAAAAGCTTTCTTCCGAAGGAAATCTCTTTTTTGCATCTTTTTCTCCTTGATTTTAACAAATGTGTGTTGGAAAATCTTTAGAAAATGTAAGAAGCCAGTTCTTTGTGTTAAACGATGAAATGAAATGCCTTTTGTTTTGGACAACTTGGTTCAATTAAATTCAACGCTATGAATAATGAAGGAGAATGAAAAAAAAACAACGTCTTTTTGTTTGAAATGCATGAGAAAAGTTGAGTGCCATTCGTAATGTTTGTTTTCTTCCCTGCAGCATCCGTACATCAACAGTCACCAATAATAGATCGTGTTGCTGCATCGACGCCACCAACATTGAGCAATTTATCAAGCGATTCCGCTTATGACAAGTTTCGTTTGCTCAACGGACATCATGTAAGTTTTTTTCTTCTTCTACCAATTATTTTCTGTTTGTTTCCCTTTTCGTTAATTGCCAAAAGAACCGAAATAAACACGAATTAATCTCATTTCGATTTAGCATCATCATCTGACATCGCCGCATCATTCGGGCGGAAGCGGAAGCGTGGCTAGTAATGGGACAAGCAACACAGCATCTTGGCCAAGAACGCCAACCGCTTGGTATCCAAGTGCTGGTGCAACAACGCCTATGTCATTCGGGTTACAGCCGCTCAGTCCATCGGATGGTGCCACCGGAATGTCAAGCGGCGGTACATGCACCGTACTTGGCGAGGATATGGCATCGAAAAAAGGTTCGTCACACACATTCACATTTTTCTTGATCAACATTTTATGAATCAAAATCATAATTTATTCGAACAATTGAATCATAACATTTGGATTTAATCAAACGTATGAAATGTACGCCAATATTCGATTAATTTTTCAAAGTAATCCGAATTCTGAATGTTTTCATAGAAATTAATGCAAAAATATTTATTTTATCTTTAAGAAATCGTCTTATTTGGGACAAAACCAGTCTTTTTTACTCTTCTCTAATTTTCTTCTGAACAAATTTCATTTTAAAAAGAAGAAAAATTATTTCGAGTCAAGTTGATTTCAATTTGAATTATTTCACCCAGCCCATTACAGATTATAGTTCTCATTCGATATTCGAAGCGGCAAAACAGACATTCTAGATTTGGTATTACTGTTTTGAACAGCAATACCCTTGCATATTTCAAAACATAATACGTATTTATCCCCATAAAACGATGCCATTTATCATAAGCCAGAAATGATTTGACCATTTGAAAAAATGTGCACGGTCAACTCTTTTCGGTAATGATTCATCCGACACAATATGACCATTGTCTACTAGTTTCTGTCCGAAAACGTTCGAATAGGAACTGATTACGCGTGTTGGCGATTAAAGAGTAATCGATGACCCATGGCATATCGAATACTTTTCCCTTCAGGAAGTGTATCAATGATGACGAAAAAAATCCATGAAATAGTCAATAGAATTGTCTGAAATTGAAAAAAAAAACGGTAGAAAAATCCAACAAATTGCCATAAAGATGCGTAAAATTGCCTGTCTGAATTTTGATAGACCTGAAAATCTCAGACAATTTTCTTAATAACTACCAGAAAATCCACTGTATTCACATACGAAAACAGTAATAACATTAAAAAGTCGATGACAATGACTTTGGTAATAAATCGTTGTGTTCATCGCACGAGAGCAGCTGATAAAGTATCCATTGTGCCGTTGTGTTTTTATCGTGAAATGCAACAAAACCAATTCACACCAAACAAATGATCGTGTCGGCTCGAAAAGTCGATGGTATTTGTGTAGCGTGAAGTTGAGACAAGCACACTACAGTGGAACAAAAAAGGAGCAACAAAACAACACACCATCACAAATCATCAAACCATAAATTATGAACAATTGACACGATCGCATAAATGACATCTTCTAAAAACTCTCTCGACAGAAATTTATCTAATAATAAATGGCAATCATAATACACGGCGACAGCAGTCGCCTAGTGGCGCGTCACCCCGTGATATAAAATAGAGAACGAGAGAGTACGAGAGCCGAATCGAAATAATGGTAACAATGAGCACGAATAAATAAATAACATAGAAAATGCATGTTCATAACCAATAACCATGTGTATTTAGTGTGAGCATTCATAAGTGGTCCTAAATGTGGTATGTTGGGCCAAACGAAGGATGGAGAAGGAGAGAGCGAGCGAGAACGGGATGCTGACTGCGCCTCACCGATTCCATGCTATGGATTGGGAGTGCTGACGACTGTGCAAATTAAACAGCACTTTAAATCGTTAACGGTATCGATTCGAGACTGTCTTTTCATAGCAGCAAAAAAAAACACATTCACTCTCTCTTTTTTTTCTACCTTCATCTCGCTTCTGCGAACGGTGAATCTGACTTGGATATATCGTCTTTTTTTTCTATTCTATCGGAAGCGTAATTGAAACTGCCTTTCATGACATTCCCTTCATCTTCGGCTGTTTTGCATTCAAAGGCAGCGCACAAAAAACACACACACACACACACTCCGTGTTTGGCTTTCTTTCAGTTTGATTCCTACTGTTTTTCCCATTGTTCCATTCATCAAAGCAGAAATTTTGTTGTTGTTGCTGTCGTCGTCCCTCTGGCTCGTTCGTACGGTAGCGCTTTGATTTGCGTCAGCATCATCAAAAACGTGTAATCATATGTGATGACATTTTCGCACCCATTCACAACTAAAAGCCATTCCAATCACAGACAAAATGACGAGCACAACGAACGCAAAACGGACCCAAAACAATTGTCGATCACATCGGCAGCAAAAGCGGCGGCAGCAGCAGCGATGGCAATGAAAATGCCGTTTCGTAGCAGCATGAGCCCTCTCTTGCTATCTCGTTCGGGTTTTATCCGAAGTTTTCCTTTCTCGCTCTCATTCCCAACACACACTAGAACAATGCCACACGAAAACGATTCATTGAAAAAAGAAGAAAAAAGAGCACAATTCAATGGAAATGGAATCGAAATGAAAATCAAAAGTACAAATTGAAAGTGAGTGTGCGTCATATGACATCTCATTATGTGCATTAAATAATTTAATGGTACCTTTTTATCCTCTCTCTCTCTCTCTCTCTCTCTCTCTCTCTCTCTCTCTCTCTCTCTTTCGCTCTGGATGTTCCATTCAACGTGTCGACACAATAAATACACACATTTTCAAGAGAGAAACATCACGTGCATCACTCTGGTCGCTCAGAACGGTAGAATTTTTACCTCTGCGAAGCTTGGTTGAAATCCCTCGTGTCGAACATTTCGTGTTTTGATCTCTTACTACTTAAAAATCTTTTATGTATCGAACAATTTATTGCCGAAAATCACCCGGAATTTGTGCTCCGCTCTCTTCTTATTCGCCGCTGCTGCTTTTTTTTCGGAAAAATTCAAAGCATTTCGATGTTGTGCTTGTGCGACTGTGCGTGTATGTGTGTGAGAGAGTAAGTGTGAATGGTCGATAAAATTTATTAGTACAACACTTATGGTCGATTAGCTTGTAACTGCTTACGTTGAATGGCCGTAACAATTCGAGCATTCAATCATTTTATTAAGAGATTTGTAACTATTTGTTTTGTATTTGCTCGACATATATACACACTGTGAATCGGCAGCAGTGATGGTGATGAAAAGAAGCACTCTCAGGACGGAATGAATGGAGAGTAGAAACAGAGAGCTGACAAGAAAAATAGACTGCATTCTCTTTTCTTACAATTTTTTCTTCTTCTTTTCGGAGTGCTGTGAAAACAACAAAGTCAAAAACGAAAAACGGCATCAATCATTTCAAAACACACACACACAGAGAGAGAGAGAAGGAGAGAATCGATTGGGTGCTGTAAACGATGAAAACCAAAAAAGACTCAGAGTTGTCAGCAGCCAAGAAGACTCTTGAAAAATAAATCTCGAGAATAAGAAGCCAAACACACACACACACACATTTCATGAAAAATGATAATGCAACAAATAGCACTTTTCTACTGTGTATTCGTTTGCTTAGCTATTTTACGCTCAATAATCCATTGTCTCTTGATCTTTTTCACCCATTCACTGAATGGACACCCCAAAAGATGCAACACACAATTTTCAGCACAAATTCAATCGACGCATTGTTGAAAATCATTATGTTGCGGTTTTCAATTCAAAAATCGTCTCGATTTTTTCGCCAATTTTGCCAGAACGAATTTCACGCTGCGTTTATTGATTAAGTGGTAAAATTTCATGCGACGTACAAACAGCATTGGCAACAAACAATTCGGAAGGATGCGAAATGTACACATTTTGAGTGAGAGAGAGAGAGAGAGCATGCTCTTTAAATAATTTCTCTTGTTATTTTATTTTTTTAAATGTTTCTATGTGAATCTTTTGTTATGTTCGATATGATATTGTCACGTTCTATTCCAGTTTGAATTCAATTGTTTTTCAGTTCAAAGAGACAAATCTTGTGATGTCTCTAAATTTGGATTCCTTAAAAAATTCCATTCTTCAAAAATAAATTGAAGTTTTAATTAAGAAGGTCAATACGTCCTAATCATTTTTAAAAAAAACTACTTAATTCATAGCTGAAATGTATCATACTTTCAACGACTGTAACAAAAACATGATAAAAAATCATATCCTCTGTATCATGATGAAAAATCCTCATACACATCATCGTCCGTGGTCCATAATACTTTTTTTACAATGTCCATGGTCAATTGTTTTAAATCAAACAGCAATGTTTTGTTTGTGTCATAAAAATGTGTATGCAAAAAAAAAACGATAAAACGTCATTTCATTGAAATGGTTTGAGTTAAATAACAATTCATTGGTGTGGCGCGCTCCGAATCACGCGATAAGCCATGATAAATAATTGCTGTTTTTTGTTTATCGAAGCTGAACAATTTGATCGTTTGTAATGATTGTTATTAAGTGTGGCACATTCAAATTCTCTCTCTCTCTCACACTCTGTCGTTCGTTATCCTTCTCCTGTCTCGCCAGTCTCCGGCACAGAGACAATGACCAAAGTTTGTAAAACATAAAAACCGACGACGCGTCACAACACAACACAAAAAGCGATGAAACAATTTAATTGCTCTGGTGATTTGTATGGTCATGATTTGTAATGTTTGTTGTTGTTGGGTTGGTTACATGTTGGACTGACACTGGCGAATGGTTCCGGATTACATATTGCGAATAAAAACAATTGAATGTTTGTTGCCCTCTCTGTTGGGATTCATGAAGGCGACTTTGGCTCTGCATCACGGCAAAAACTGCACAGTCAATTCATAGGCTCCCTCGCCACTTGACTCCGCGCACTCATAACGATAAATGTCAATAAAGGATTGCACACACAATAGAAGCAAACACATCGGGTTGTATGTAGAAAGGCAAAATTCGGCTCGTTCATTCTTGTCGAATTATTATTGCCAACCAAAACGGATGATCTCCATTATAAAATAATAATTGGCAAAAAGTGATACACGAGATATCAAAAGTCAGTGTGGCTAGCGCCAACAATTCCAAGGCAACATTCGTCGCCAAGCATGAATAAGCATCACACTCACAGCCCCTTTTCTGCTCTTCATATAACACGACAAACAATCAAACATATCCTCTCTCTCTCTCTCTCTCCAGCCTTGGACCAAGGGTACATTTGTTTGCTCGTTATTGTTGCGTATGTACGACATAGTATTTAGTTTATTTATTACAATATTTCAATTACATTATTAAATATTGTTTGCGACATTTAATAAAG